TACCTCCGTGGAAAATTTCCAAGTTTAAGGGAAGCTAAGATAAACGAAGGTGTCTTTGTTGGTCCTCAGATTCGTGAACTTCTTCGAGATGATGCATTTGACAGTGCACTGCGTGGCAAGGAAAAGACGGCATGGAACGCTTTCCAGTTAGTGGCAACAAATTTTCTCGGAAACAACAAGGCAGACAACTAGAGGGAGTTGCTGGAAAACCTCTGCAATGCATACAAAAAGCCTTGGTTGCAACATCTCACTAAAGATACATTTTTTGCACTCTCATCTAGATTTTTTCCCACCGAACTGCGGAGCAGTGAGCGGCGAGCATGGCAAACGATTTCACCAGGAACATTGCAACAGTGTGTAATAAAACACTTCGACGACGAACGTTGAACTGGCGTCTTTATTCATTTATTTCTATGTTGGCTGTACAGCTCCGCGCTCCTTCTGCGCGGGCGCGTGTTGACTCCCGCCCGCGCACGGCTCTCTCGCTCTCCCCGTTCCTGCGCACCGCTGGCTGGCGGCGGGCAAGGAGTCGACCCTCGAGCCACCACGTGGCCGCTGGCGTGCCGAGAGGACGAGGCGCAGTCCCCGCTTCCAGGCTTCCCACACTGACCACGAGCCTCTTCCTGCTTCCCTTTATAGCCCTCTCACGCGGAGCCAGGCCCCGCCTCTAGCCACGCCCCCTCTAGAACCTTCGCGATAGTTCCCACGAGCACCCTTGAGCTCCGCCCATGAACTTTGGCCCAGGTGAACCCACTCATCCTGATTGGCTTATGACTGATGCGGTGGAACCTATCCAGCCGGTCGGCGTCCGTCGGTGTACTCTCTCATTACAACAATGGAGAAACGCTACCAGGGCAAATGGAGCCCATCAATGCTTGCAGACTATTGCTGGACAGTGACAAGAGATGCTCCATTTAATGAATACAAGAGACAAGCCAAGAAGCGCTGAATAGACACTGAATGAGGACTAAACGATGTACTTACATATAATAAAATAATAAATTGATAAAATAACACAATAATATTCTCACGACGTTTCGGCCACAACACAAGCGGCCTTCATCAGGTGAAGGGGACGAGACTGTCTGGAGGACAGCGCTGGAGTGAGAAAGCCACGCTGAGATCACGACCTTTAAGCTGTGTGAGAAGAAGCAAAGCGCCTTGACAAAGGAATTAGCATATAATTTAGCATTGAAATGGCTGAGTGATTAGCTTGTGACTGGTCACAGAAAAGGCTATGTAAAAGTTAAAGCATACACATCCGCAAAGGCACCCGTTGACAAAGGAATTAGCATAGAATTTAGCATTGAAATAGCTAAGTTAAAGTATACACATCCGCAGAGGCACTCCTTGACAAAGGAATTAGCGTAGAATTTAGCATTGAAATAGCTGAATTTAGCATTGAAATAGCTGAATTTATGCTAATTCCTTTGTCAAGGAGTGCCTCTGCGGATGTGTATACTTTAACTTAGCTATTTCAATGCTAAATTCTATGCTGATTCCTTTGTCAAGGGGTGCCTTTGCGGATGTGTATGCTTTAACTTTTACATAGCCTTTTCTGTGACCAGTCACAAGCTAATCACTCAGCCATTTCAATGCTAAATTATATGCTAATTCCTTTGTCAAGGCTCTTTGTTTCTTCTCACACAGCTTAAAGGTCGTGATCTCAGCGTGGCTTTCTCACTCCAGCGCTGTCCTCCAGACAGTCTCGTCCCCTTCACCTGATGAAGGCCGCTTGTGTTGTGGCCAAAACGTCGTGAGAATATTATTGTGTTATTTTATTTTATCAATTTATTATTTAATTCTCATTCTACGTGACTTTACCGAAAGAACCAAAGAAGATGAATCCTTGCAGTCACGAAAGCTTTAAATCGAAATTTTACATATAATAGTTTTTAGCCTTTTGTTTCATTATACATTTTATGTATACAACTCTTTTGCTGATTTTAAAGTGTTATATGAACAGGACACGTGACATGTTATCATGTAAAGCAACAATAAACACATGAAAATACCTAGATTTAAAATTTATGAGTAAAACTCTACTATCTACAAAATATATATAGACGTCAAACGTAAAAACTTAAATATCGTGGAGACAGTAGTCAATCAGCTGTTTTAATTGTCATAATAAACAGCACATTTCATCTCTGAAGCAGACGACGTCTTAAAATTGTTGACCAGTTTAATGCAAATAAATACTACTGATAAGTTAATGTTTACCTTTGTTGTTAATTATACAAACGGCGGTATGTGTATTCTAGATTTAAAGCTTTCGTGACTGCTAGGATCCATACTCTTTGGTTCTATTGGGTAAAGTCACGTAGGTGAAAATAAAATAACAAAAAATCACGACGTTTCGGCCACAACACAAGCGGCCTTCATCAGGTGAAGGGACGAGACTGTCTGGAGGACAGCGCTGGACAGAAGCCACGCTTAGATCACGACCTTTAAGCTGTGTGAGAAGAAAACAAAGCGCCTTGACAAAGGAATTAGCATATAATTTAGCATTGAAATGGCTCATTGAAATAGCTAAGTTAAAGTATACACATCCGCAGAGGTACCCCTTGACAAAGGAATTAGCATAGAATTTAGCATTGAAATAGCTGAGTGATTAGCTTGTAACTGGTCACAGAACATAGCTATTTCTGTGACCAGTTACAAGATAATCACTCATGTGTGCTTGTGTTTACGCGCTTATTATTTGTTTGCTGATTTTGCTGTACTTATGTTTAAACCCATGCCTCGTATGAATACAGAGACTCGCGATCTCAATCGGCTATTCTAATGCCGTATATCGTTAAAACAATGTACAGCCCCTTTGTCAATGGGCTGCTGGATGAAGGCCTCCCCACGCATTGTCGCTCCTTTGACCATACTTCACCACGGTGACAAGTGCGGGTTGGTGAAAGGAGGGTGGGGAGGGGGGGGGGGTACCAGGAGCGATCCAGAAATCACAGGCCACTGACGTTAGCCATGGCTGAGAATCAAACTCGATTCGTCGGGTTCACAGCGTGAGTCTGCTCTGACCTCTGCTCCGATGCTCGTGATTTTCTTTTGTCATAAGTCACCGATCTAATTTTAAGTTTTTTTTTTGTTAAGCCAAAAATCTGAAAATAGTTGTTAACAAAAATCACGGCACGATCAAGTTCAATGTCGCCTTCTTGGGTGTAAGCGCCCAGTTCAATTCCTGGTCTTGGCTCGTGGGCGAAGAGGGACACGGTCCGTGGCATTGATCGGTGATTATAACTGCGTAACAAAACTAACAAAAAATGTGTTCCTGGGTAGTAAGTGTTATTTTCTAATTGATTATGCCTCAATAGTACAGAAAATGGCTATCATCCACCACAAATTTTGCTTTTGTGACCAGCACTGGGATATTTTGCTCCTATTTTCAATGAGAAAACGTGGTGAGCATTTGTGTCATTCCTTCACATAAAGTCCTGATCACAAAAGCAAAGTTTGTGGTGGATGATAGCCATTTTCTGTACTTTTGAGGCATAAGCCATTAGAAAATAACACTTACTACCCAGGAACAAAAATCGTGTTGCATAATTATTGCCTCTTGGCGTGGCGCTCCTTACAAGAACCGTGACATTTCACCTGGTTTCAACAAACGAGTCGAATTCCGTCTTGTGGCAACGACGAGTCGGACTCCACCACCAGATCCCCCATGCCCCCCCCCCCCCTGCTGTGCCCCGCACCTCGTTAGGCTCACGACTGCCCTGTGTTGGCTCAAGTCTGCCGCACGGATCGTGCCGGAGGCAAAGAGTCGATAGAACCTTGACTGTGGCCGCCAAACGCCTCGGCTCGGCGTTTATTTTAGTGTCGATTCGCACGCGTCCTCGCGCTATTTTGGGCCGATTCCTGCCAAAATATCCGCCGTACGCATCCCCAAGCTTGATTGGACGCAAACAGGACGCGCGTACGGAGGACGAGTGACTTGGTAACCCAAGCGCGCGTGTGTGTGTGCGCGTGCGCGTGTGTGTTCATGTGTGCGTGCATTTGGTGCTAGCTAACAGCGCTTGCTCCAACGGTCTGTTAAGGCTATACGGGGGATCTTTGTCTTGTTGTGTGTGTGTGTAAATGGGGGAGCGGTGGTGTACCGGTTAGCGCGCTGCGCTTCCAACCTGAATTTTCCCGGGTTCGATTCCCGTTCACGGCCAACATCAGTGACGATTATCTGAGCCGGCCCTGAGCCTCGCCTAGCTCGACTCAGCCTCAAATGAGTAACCTGGTACGGTGTGCAGTAAAAATCGCCACTGGGGAGACAAAGGCGACCGGGCGTGGTGCTGGCCACCCACCCCCTCGTGTTCCGTTTCGGCCCTCATAGGTGTTCGCTAACAGCACTTGCCCCAACAGTCTGTTAAGGCTATACGGGGGATCTTTGTCTTTGTTATTATGTGCGTGTAAATACGTTGCGTTCGTGGGTTTATATGGATCTGTTTATAAATGTGGCTAAATATGCACGTGTATGTCAATGACTCAAAAGGCAATCTGTGCATAGTGGTTAATGTGTAATGGTTAGCACACTGTGAACTAGTCCAGGACCTCCCTTCGACTCAGCCTCAAATGAGTACCTGGTGTGGTGCATAAACCTCAGAACTGGGGAGACAAAGGCGGACGGGCGTGGTGCTGGTCACCCATCCCGTTGTGTGCCGTGTCGGTCTTCAAATGCGTTCGATAAAAACCACTTACCGCAGCAGACTGTCCCGGCTATTTGTTGTGTGTGAACATTGTCCGTGGATGTATGCGTATACGTGCATGCGCGCGTGTACACGTGTGTGCGCCAGCATCTAATCTGTGTATGTGGCTGTGTACGTCGTATATGTGAGTCTTCGTATGTGTGAGGATCTCTCTCCCTCTCTCTCCCTCTCTCTCTGTCTCCGTGTCGACGCGAGCGCCGTGCGCGCACGCCCTCCTCGTGAGTTTGCGAGTTCCTCTTCACGTCCCCCACTCTTCACCGTTGACTGAGCCTCCTCCACGCGGAGCCTCGACGCGACTCTGCGTCTCGCAGAGCCCCGGGGGCTTGCGGCTCCCATTGGCCGCGCCGCGGGGCGGAGTCCGAGGCTCAAAAGGCAACGGCGGCTCCTCCTGCGCACGTTTCCTCCCCTCCCCGCCCCAGCCACGGGCTCCGCGGCTCCGTCTCCCACGGCCTCCGCTGTCCGGAGCGCGGCGTGGGCGAGGCCCGTGGGTCGGGATGTATTCCGCAGGATTCGCACCCTACTACCTGAACGGCCTTGCGCTGTGGCCCGCTGCCGCGGCCGCCTATTGCGCACCTGGTCTCGCCGACCCCTCCAAGAAGGGCTCGTTTTGCGTGGCCGATATTCTGCACCTGAGCGCCGTGGACAGCGCGACCCTGCAGGGGCCTCCTGCGGGGCACAAGCAGGGCCCGACGGCCACCCGGCCCCCGCCACCGGCGGGGCAGCCACTCCGGCCGACCCCGCGCTCGCCCGGAGGGGACTGCTCCGAAAGGGGTCCCAGCCCCGCAGCGGGCGCGGGCCCCGCTGCCGCGTCGCCCTCGCCGCGTCTCCTGCTCGCCACCCTGCACGCCCAGCAGCACTGCTCGCCGGTAACCAGCAGGGAGCTCAAGTTTGGCATCGAGCGGATTCTAGCGAGCGACTTCACCGCCAAGGCCAGCGATGGCTTCTTCTTCGCCGGTACGTCGCCTGCCCGCGGCACGAACCGGGGGTCGGGTTGGGCACTCGTGCGTGGCGAGTCATCGAGAGATCGAGCAGCCGGAGACAGCGTTAGCGACGCGGGCTGCGAGAGGGCCCCGTCAGCGCCGTCACTTGGAGTGTCGTCGCGGTGGTCCATGACCCCGCCGACTCGGGGGCGATAGCGGGGCTATACTGCAGGATGGCTATGTCTATCACGCGCCTAACAATTGCACTGCGAGGCTATATCGATGTAAGTGTTTCCTTAATACGACGCCTACTTATTTAAACATTTGCACTCTGTTGTTTGCTCGTACATTAAAACGGTTCGTTCTAGTCCGGTCTAAAGTCAAGGCGAAAGTATCAAATGTAGTCCTAATTTACAGAATCAGTTCCTTCATCATCACAAATACATGCGTGTGATTAGAGTTTCGTTTTTCGCGTGTCCTAGCGTCAACACTTTTAACGTACATTTAACTTTGAATATAAATTCAGTTTAACGTGGTAACAATTTCAAAGGTAGTTTTAATTGATCGGGGTTCGTCTGTTACTCAATCGCTACTATTTGTGCAACTATTCAAATGCCGGACCACCAGAAAACATTTTTTAAAATTAAATTCTCATCGGGCCCCGTGCTGTTAAGCTCAGCCTCCAACCCTTATTAATTATATCTGGCCTCTCTGTATGTGCAATGAAGAAGGGTCATCGCTTAAAACGTCGCGTGTTATATATATGTTAAGGCGACAGTGTTGTTGTCGAATGTTGTGAGCTGTTTTTGCTCCTTGTGCTCACGCACTACTGGAAATATAGCGGTAGTAATGAATACTTTGTTTTATTAACACAAACACGTAGTTTTTAAGCCGTCCGTAATTCACGCTCCCAAGCTGAGAAGTTCACTTTTTGCTGTTTATCTGTCTTCGACATGAAATTATCGGGGTTTTTCTGTATTGTTTATGTGGGACGCAGAATGGGAATCGCATAAGGCCGATAAATTCTACTTTAAAAAAATATAAACATGAACGCACGCATATTCGGATGGCGTCCATCACACATCGTGTGGATTTCAATGTGCGTTCGAACACGATGCAATGCGGATCCGTGTATTCATCTACGTGCACCAACATCTCACGCCGCATTACGAGCGGGACACGTGGATGAAGGCGATGTGTACACATGTCCTGAGAGAGGCAGAGGAAGAGAGAGAGACAAGGCGTTGAGTTCGTACGCAGGGCCTCGGACTGTGTAACCCTTTATCTCGGAGGCTATAAGCCCCACTGAGTCTAAGGACTCGTTTTCAGAAGGGTCATACAAATGGGATTTGTAACTGCATTAGTGGCGCGGTGGCGAGGTCTTAACTTGCCCGGCCTGCTATACATGAGGTTGTGGGTTCGATATCCTGACGCCTGCATGTTTGGAGTTTGCGTGTTCTCTCTCACCGTGGTCTCGTGGATTTTTGTCAGGGTCCTTCGGTTTTTCCCTCCACATTTAGAAACATGCGTTAAGCGTATTTGGCCGCTATAAATTTCCACATGTTAAACCGCTTAGTTGAGCTATCACTTGTGGCCAGGTCGCATCTGAAAAAAAAGCCATTTCGCTCACTGGGCCTTACTTGGTTAAATAAAAAAAATAGTTTAGTTTTACTTTAGGGATGTTTATCATTAGTTCAATCCCACGGCCTGTCAACACGAATGTACAACGACCCCCAACGTGAGATAAGACCTCCACGTCCGTCTCGCGCGGACAGCGGGGACTGGAAGGGCATTGGGCAAGACGCAGCAAATCCAAGACCTGCGCCATGCGGCTGATATCATCTAACGCGCCCTCCCCCCTACCCCAACAGATCTGCCCGGCGCTCTTTCACCCCGCTACCCGGGGCAGCTGCTGGTCGGACACGGTGGCCCGGGCCACCAGCATCATCATCAGCAGCAGCAACAGCAGCAGCAGCAGCACCCGTTCGCGGGAGCCTTCCCTCCGGGGATGCACGGGGTCCCCGGCGAGATGCACGCCCACGCGGCGGCGGGGCCGCACCTGCAGCACGGCCGCCACGCGATGCCGCACTTCCGAGACGCCTTCCCAGGTGAGGCGCGGCTGGCGGGGGCGACGACCTTCGGCAGCGGCTCGGCAAGCCGTCGAGTGCCACGCAACGCAACGCCGCTCGCTCGCTCGCTCAATCGCTCGCTCGCTCGATCGATCGCTCGATCGCTCGCCCCTTGTTCAGCGTCGGCGAACAAAAGGTCGACGCGGTGAACACAGCGTAGCGCGAGTGCGCTCCACGCAGCGTCAAAACGCACTTAACGCAGCACGGTTAATGCGGTTTTCACTGTTAAGATGATTTAATAGCGGGCAGCTGGCACAATTACACAGCTATTAAACGGCGACCATTAGCACAGTTAACACGGTTAGGAGGCCGGCATTAACACGGCACAACTGTCTACGTGAGTGTGGGTGGTGTAACTGGCGCAGTTGACACAGCGCACTCGACACAATTCGTGCGGTTAACGCAATCAGTCGAGGTGGTACTCGGGCTGAGGCGGCGGTCGCTAAATAACGATCAGCGCTTCGAGCAAGGAAACGCGTGTCCGTGACGTCGCGTCTCATGTTCTGAGTTGTATCCCGCTCACACTGCACGCTACTAACATCACGTGTACACGTGTTGGTGATGTCGCACTAACACCGCACGTTACTAACGTGTTAATAACATCACGTATACACGTGTTGGTGATGTCGCACTAACACCGCACGTTACTAACATCACGTATACACGTATTGGTGATGTCGCACTAACACCGCACGTTACTAACATCACGTATACACACGTGTTGGTGACGTCGCACTAACACCGCACGTTACTAACATCACGTATACACACGTGTTGGTGGTGTCGCACTAACACCGCACGTTACTAACGTGTTAATAACATCACGTATACACGTGTCGGTGATGTCGCACTAACACCGCACGTTACTAACATCACGTATACACGTGTTGGTGATGTCGCACTAACACCGCACGTTACTAAAATCACGTATACACGTGTTGGTGATGTCGCACTAACACTGCACGTGTTGGTGATGTCGCACTAACACTGCACGTGTTGGTGATGTCGCACTAACACTGCACGTGTTGGTGATGCCGCACTAACACTGCACGTGTTGGTGATGCCGCACTAACACTGCACGTGTTGGTGATGTCGCACTAACACAGCACGTGTTGGTGATGTCGCACTAACACCGCACGTGTTGGTGATGTCGCACTAACACCGCACGTGTTGGTGATGTCGCACTAACACTGCACGTGTTGGTGATGTCGCACTAACACTGCACGTGTTGGTGATGTCGCACTAACACCGCACGTGTTGGTGATGCCGCACTAACACCGCACGTGTTGGTGATGCCGCACTAACACCGCACGTGTTGGTGATGCCGCACTAACACCGCACGTGTTGGTGATGTCGCACTAACACCGCACGTGTTGGTGATGTCGCACTAACACCGCGCGTTTTGGTGATGTCGCACTAACACTGCACGTGTTGGTGATGTCGCACTAACACCGCACGTGTTGGTGATGTCGCACTAACACCGCACGTGTTGGTGATGTCGCACTAACACCGCGCGTTTTGGTGATGTCGCACTAACACTGCACGTGTTGGTGATGCCGCACTAACACCGCACGTGTTGGTGATGCCGCACTAACACCGCACGTGTTGGTGATGTCGCACTAACACCGCACGTGTTGGTGATGTCGCACTAACACCGCGCGTTTTGGTGATGTCGCACTAACACTGCACGTGTTGGTGATGTCGCACTAACACCGCGCGTTTTGGTGATGTCGCACTAACACTGCACGTGTTGGTGATGTCGCACTAACACCGCACGTGTTGGTGATGTCGCACTAACACCGCACGTGTTGGTGATGTCGCACTAACACCGCGCGTTTTGGTGATGTCGCACTAACACTGCACGTGTTGGTGATGTCGCACTAACACCGCACGTGTTGGTGATGCTGCACTAACACCGCACGTGTTGGTGATGCCGCACTAACACCGCACGTGTTGGTGATGTCGCACTAACACCGCACGTGTTGGTGATGTCGCACTAACACCGCGCGTTTTGGTGATGTCGCACTAACACTGCACGTGTTGGTGATGTCGCACTAACACCGCACGTGTTGGTGATGTCGCACTAACACCGCACGTGTTGGTGATGTCGCACTAACACCGCACGCTGCTCGTGGATGTTCGAGCCGTGACGGCTTGGGGCGAGCGAGCGAGCTGATCGCCCGCGGCGCCGCACGGGCGATGTTAATGCTAATCAGAGGAAATAGGAAGTAATGTAATCTCTGCGCCAGTTTTCAAATCCCAATTTCCTGAAGTGCCTCTGGTGTCGAGCTGCACCCCAACCCCCCTCTACCAGCGCCTCCGTTGGGCACGTGCTCGCAAACACGTGCGCACAGCGAACCCAAAACACGTGCGCACTTACACACAGGTGTCTGTGTGTATGTGTGTGTCTACGCAGTTGTGGGGAGCGATAGTGTAGCGGTTATCGCGCTGCGCTATGAACCTGGCGACCCGGGTGCGATTCACGCTCACGGCCAACACCAGTGACGATTATCTGAACCGGTCCCGGGCCTCCCCTAGGTCGACTCAGCCTCAAATGAGTACCTGGTGCGGTGTGTAAACATTGCCACTAGGGAGACAAAGGCGGTCGGGCGTGGTGCTGGCCACCCACCCCCTCGTGTACCGTTCCGGCCTTCATAGGTGCTCGCTAACAGCACTTGCCCCTACAGTCTGTTACAGGCTATATGGAGGATCTTTGTTTTGTCTACGCAGTGGGGAGCGGTGGTGTAGCGGTTAGCGCTACGCTGCGCTATGAACCTGACGACCCGGGTTCGATTCCCGCTTACGGCAAACACCCAGTGACGATTATCTGAACCGGGCTTGGGCCTCCCCTAGGTCGACTCAGCCTCAAATGAGTACCTGGTGAGGTGTGCAGTAAACATCGCCACTGGGGAGACAAAGGCGGTCGGGCGTGGTGCTGGCCACCCACCCCCTCGTGTACCGTTCCGGCCTTCATAGGTGCTCGCTAACAGCACTTGCCCCTACAGTCTGTTACAGGCTATACGGGGGATCTTTGTCTACGTATCGTATGTGTACAAAAAAATAAATAAAAATTATCCCATACATCTACTGTAGTAGTCATTGACATACTATCGGGGTGGCCGGCAAACTACGCCACTTCGCCCCTTTTTTCTCCCCGGTGCTGGTACTCGTTTATGGCTGAGTCGACCTAGGGGGAGGTCCACGACCGGCTGGAAGTATCCGCCGCTGTTTATTTTAGTCGCGAACTGGAAAGCCGCGCACGCGTGTGTACACAGAGATAAATGTTCCCCGTGCAGCCTTCACAGACTGTTGGGGTCAAGTGCTTTTAGCGAGGGAGGGGGGGGGTGACCAGCACCACGCCCGGCCACCTTTGTCTCCCCAGTGCTGGCGATGTGTACACATCGCACCAGGTTCTCATTTGAGGCTGAGTTTGACCTAGGGGAGGCCCAGAACCGATTCAGACAATCGTCACTAGTGTTGGCCGTGTGTATACACACACACGCACACATACACGTGTACCTGTGTGTGTGTATAAGTGTTTGTGTGTGTGTATATATATACACACGGGGAGCGGTAGTGTAGTGGTGCGCTATGAACCCGGCGTCCCGAGTTCGATTCCCGTTCCATGCGGACGCCAGTGACGATTATCTGAACCGGTCATGGGCCTCCAATGAGTAGTTAGTGCGGTATTTAGTAAACATCGGCACTAGGGAGACAAAGGCGGCCGGGCGTGGTACTGGCCACCCACCCCCTCGTGTGCCGTTCCGGCCTTCATAGGTGCTCGCTAACATCACTTGCCCCCAACAGTCTGTTAAGGCTATACGGGGGGGGTCTTTGTCTTTGTGTGTATATATACACACACACACACACGTGTATACATGTACAATGTACCAGGGGCACCCCAAGGCATTATTCTGTGGTGCGTGTTGAGCCCTCTGCTCCAATGCGCGGTGCACATTCATCTCCCTCTCTCCACGTCGCTCGCGTGCTTTGCTTCATCGCGATAATACAAACGTCGTTTCGGCCATCTGTTCAATCGCGTTTTTAGTTTCTCATATATATATAAACGACGTGCACTTCAAATGTGATGTTTTTTTTATTTCACAAAAATAAAAACAGCGGTAGAGACTCTCCCTCTCTGGCTTCTCTGTGTGCTGTGAAGGGCCATTGCCCGAAACGTCTCCTATTAAATAGTTTTCCTTATAAGGCCATGGCGTTATTGAGCAATGCGTTGCATTATTTTTGTTGCTGCTGCTGCTGCTTGTATTTGAGCACCACTGCCGACGAAGCAGCAGTAGCATCACCAAATAATTTGTTTAATTTAACGAAGTCAACTAGTCGTGTTTCACCATCGCGTAAATAAATACGACTCTGGACGGAGGTGAAGGGGGTTGGCAGCAGTGGCCGTAGTGGGTGGTTCACGTAACCACGCAATGGACCCGGGGCCAACTGAGTTTAATTCCAGGTCACGGACAAAGCGTGCGCCACGAGCGATATCTGAAGCAATGTTGAACCTCCACCAGCCCACCATGCTCCATGTCTGTGATGCTAAGCGTATTTGTATTCGTGGACGAAGCAGTGTTGCGTAATAAATATCATTTATTCGCGAAAAACAATCCCATTTGGTGCAGAGCAGTATGAATGTGATGGGTTTTAGCTCGTGAACATTGCATTACGCAGGAATAGGGTAGCATGTATGAGGTCTTATTCTTTGGGTCTTTCGGTAAAGTCACGTAGATGGGTAACACATGAATAAAAATACAAAATAATATTTTATATTTTTTTTTATTTGTACCTATCTACGTAACTTTACCGAAAAACCTGCAGTCACGAAAGCTTTAAACCAAGATGCAAGAGGTCTGTTGAGAGTGCGACTTTACTCATTGTTACGATTGTGTTGCCAATGTTACTGTTGTGGTGTTATACATAGTTTATAAAGTAATGCTCGTGATGATGCAGACGGCGAATTTTACATGGGGAAAAGTTGTCAAGAACACAACTGTAGTTTAGTTTCTATCAATTATTTTTTTTAAATCAACCCTTTGTCAATCCACTGCTGGACAGAGGCCCTCGCCAGAACCCACGACGCGTGGGTCATTGTTTGTGTTACATACTGCACCGCTCTGCTCTGTGTGGCTTGACGATTTAAGTGATGGGGGAGTCAGCGCCAGCAGCATCGGTTCAGGTATCGCATCGCCACAGACGCTAGCCGTTGTCGGGAATGGGACTCAGGCAGTCAGTAGGGTTCGTAGCACAGCGCAGTAAACACTGCGCCACCATTCCACTTTAATAATATCCATCACAGGAGGAATTTATCTGTTGGAGGACTAGGATAGGTGTTTTTTAAATTTCCTTTTTCTTAATCAGTGTTATAATTGCGAGTGTCAGGAGTAAATGTCTACTCTTGCCGTATTCACGTATAGCCTGGTCGAACATTTAAAGCGCGGGTCGTGACGATGCAGCTTGTCTGCCTACCGAGCTACGGGATCATTTAGCACCCACTTGTACCCGCTGGTACCCATTCCATGATGCCCCCCGCGTGTGCTCACGAGCGCATCTATGACTGTGTCCACCCCTGCATCTTTGTGTGCCAACGTTGTGCCATTTCCCTCTCTCTCCCGTGTGCGTGTACCCATGGACCTGTGTACCCACGTGTGTCCATGTGTGGCCAAACGTGCCCTCCGTGTGCTCTCGTACCATTCGTACCCCTCGTGCCTACACTCCGTGCCCGTGCCCCCGTGCGTGGCCCCGTGCCTCCCAGCAGGTCCGTACGCGGTGCTGACCAAGGAGACGATGCCGCCCAACTTCAAGCGGAAGCGCTCGTGGTCGCGGGCCGTCTTCTCGAACCTGCAGCGCAAGGGGCTCGAGAAGCGCTTCGAGATCCAGAAGTACGTGACCAAGCCGGACCGCAAGCAGCTCGCAGCCATGCTGGGCCTCACGGACGCGCAGGTGCGGCAACCACATCATCAACAACATCGACAACCACCCCATCAACGGCATCAATAGCCGATCCAACAACAAGCACACCGTCAACGGCATCAACAACTACCCCAACAACAACCACGCCATCAATAATATCAATAACCACCCCATCAACAGCATCAATAACCACCCCATCAACAAGCACACCATCAACGGCATCAATAACTGCACCAACAACAACTGCACCATCAAACAAAATAAACAACTACCCCATCAACTGCATCAATAACCGATCCAACAACAAGCACACCGTCAACGGCATCAACAACTACCCCAACAACAACCACGCCATCAATAATATCAATAACCACCCCATCAACAGCATCAATAACCACCCCATCAACAAGCACACCATCAACGGCATCAATAACTACACCACCAACAACTGCACCCATCAAACAAAATAAACAACCACCCCATCAACTGCATCAATAACCGATCCAACAACAACCACACCAGCAACAACATCAACAACCACACCGGCAACAACATCAACAACCACATCGGCAACAGCGTGCACACCAATATCAGCAGCAGCAGCATTTTCGGTGACGCGCGCAGCGTTACACACCGAGACGCTGTTGGCATGCGACCGTGGGAATGCGCTGTCGTCTGTCGATGTTGCCGATGCTTGTTGCCGAGCGCGTTGCCCCGTGTGCGGTGGTGCGCGTCCTCCGACGCGTGCAGGTAAAGGTGTGGTTCCAAAATCGGAGGATGAAGTGGCGGCACTCAAAGGAGGCGCAGAAGGAGAAGGAGCAGCAGCAGCAGCAGTCGAGCGCGCAGGGCAAGGAGCGCCTCCCGGACCTCTCTGCCTCTGCCGGCGACAGCGACGCAGCGTCCAAGAGCGACGCGGCCGACGGCGGTAGCGACTCGGAGGGGCCCGTGGACGAGGAGGAAGAGGAGGACGAGGTGGACGATGCGGACGAGGAAGACGAGGGCGCGCCGCGGGAAACGGGGGGTGCCGTGGACCTGTCGGGCCGTGAAGACGCCTGGAAAGCGCGGGACGAGAGCCCGGCCGGGCCGCCCCTCGTCGCGGAGCCGCACGACGTGGCCACAGGGAGCCGCGCCCGACTCCACGGGGAGGAGTGACGATGATGGCCGCGGAGCCGCGAGTGACCAATTGTTGTTGCGCTGACGCGGAGTGACTGCGGAAGGGCTGCACTCATTGGGATGAGACCGTGGCCCGCAAAGTTGAAAGTGACCACTCGTGCGTGGCCCGGCAAGTGACGACGGCTGGCGCGGCCGAAGTGACCGCCGCAGATGCACAGCGAGGAGGGAGGCCCCCCGGGGGTTCCCGTTGTTTGGGAGTGACCACGGCTGCACGACAGGGAGGGACGGATTGCTGCATCCCGGAGTGGCGTGGGGTGGAGAGTGTGGGTTTTTGCCTCCGGCCATGTATAGCAGCACCACGACAGGTAAACACGGACTGCGGTGTGTGTGTATATCCAATGTCTACGCGGTGTAGTTACGCGTTTGTACCATATACCGTTATGTATATTTCTTTTTTTTCTAAACGTATAAGTTAAGCATTCTTGGAGGCCTTAAGCAAACAGTATCCTTTGACTAACCACGGCACATCGGCCGGGCCTCGACGAGTATCGATCGTACACGCGGCCTTTAAGCGGCAGTGACGTCCGTCTCGCAAGGTGCCGACGAGGCCGCTGGATGCGCGAGAGACGAATTCTACGAGTCGGGGTTTCGCGCATTGAGTTTTGACCGAAGCAGTTTAAAGAAGGATACTGAACTACCTCTTTCAGGTGGGGATATGCTTTTTTCAGAAACCCAAAAAAATCGATTTCTATCCTGGTTTTACACAAGAACGGTTTAGTCGGTCCGGTTGCACTAAGCCAGTGAAACGTTGAACGTTGGGTCCAACGTTGGCCCAACGTTGGACCCAACGTTGGGCCAACGTTGGGTCCAACGTTGACCCAACGTTGACCCAAGTTGGTCCCACGTTGGGTCCAACGTTGACCCAACGTTGACCCAAGTTGGTCCCACGTTGGCCCAACGTTGCATGTTCACTGATAAGACGGAGTCGTTGCCATTCGCGATGATCGCTGTCGGCGGCTCAGCACGCCCTGTGTCATCATTCGAATCCGATTAAAGCAAATGGAAGTGCAGGATGCGTGTCGGTGTGCGTCCCTCGGTGTCCTACGGAGAGATCTGCTACAGCACAACGCACACAACACACCGCGCACACACACATACACACACGGTGCACAACACACACCGTACACAACACACAAGGTACACACCGCACACAGTACATAGCACACACGGTACACACCATACATACGGTACACAACACACAGTACACAACACACACTCCGCACACACGCACTGCACACACACACACAGCACACAACACACACAGCACACACACACACGTTACACAAACACTGCAAGCACCCACTGCGCACACTGCACAACACACACTCCGCACACACGCACACGCACGGTACGCAACTCACACAGTACACACCACACACAGCACCCAACTCACACTTCATACACGGTCCACAACACACACGGTCCACAACACACACGGCCCACAACACACACGGTCCACAACACACACGGTCCACAACACACACGGCCCACAACACACACGGTCCACAACACACACGGTCCACAACACACACGGCCCACAACACACACGGTCCACAACACACACGGCCCACAACACACACGGCCCACAACACACACGGTCCACAACACACACGGTCCACAACACACACGGCCCACAACACACACGGTCCACAACACACACGGCCCACAACACACACGGTCCACAACACACACGGCCCACAACACACACGGTCCACAACACACACGGCCCACAACACACACGGTCCACAACACACACGGTCCACAACACACACGGTCCACAACACACACGGCTCACAACACACACGGTCCACAACACACACGGCCCACAACACACACGGTCCACAACACACACGGTCCACAACACACACGGTCCACAACACACACGGTCCACAACACACACGGTCCACAACACAAACACTGCACACACACGGTCCACAACGCGGCACGTAACTATTTTAAAATGACTGCCGACGAAACGAATATTTATATATTTAAAAATAAATAAAAAAAATTGCTATTGGATGGTTACTCATTCTAATAGTATAAGCAATATCACACACACGAGAATAGGTTTTCCCCTTTTTTCTGGCAACAAAACAGCTGTATTGAGAAGTTGAAACACCAAATTGAAACCTTTTTACAAGGAATCATGTTTGCGTTAACCACAGTACTTGTGGTCAGAATGCAAACAAAAAACATACTCTGATAATATATGCATTGTCTTTGAAACTGATTGGTCCACACCAGAGATAGCCCCCTAATCAGTTTCAAAGACAATGCATATATTATCAGAGTACGATTTTTGTTTGCATTCTGACCACAAGTATTGTGGTTAACGCAGACATGATTCCTTGTGAAAGGTTTCAGTTTGGTGTTTTAACATCTTAACACCTGTTCTGTTGCCAGACAAAAGGGGAAAACCTATTCTCATATTTTGGTACTGGCAAAGGAGGTCCCATGAAATATCATACACACACAGAGAACCAAATACATACGCGCGGAGTAGTACATAGACATACTTCCTGAAGAAGTCCTGCGATTATAATTGTCAAATCATTTTAATGATCCTGTGATTCATTATTTACGTTTACACACACACACGCACATATTGGCTCCTCAAATAAGTAAACACCGCATAAACATACACAAAGCATAGAAATATCACCCGTATAGCCTTGCCAAACTGTTGGGGAAAGTGCTGTCAGTGAGCACCCTATGGAGGTCGGGACACAACCAGTGGGGTGGGTGGCCAGCACCACGCGCGGCCGCCTTTGTCTCCCTCGTGGCGATGTTTACTACGCACCGCTTCTCCAGGTTACTCGTTTTGAGTCGACCCAGATAATCGTCGATCCAGGGGAGGCCCAGATAATCGTCCACCCGGTGTTGGCCGTGAGCGCGAATGGAACTCGGGACGCCGGGTTGGTTGCACAGCACGCGAACTGCTGCACCACCGCTCCCGACAAACACACACACACACACGCGCGCAATACAAATAACACTCCACAGAGAATGGCAAACGCAGGAGCCTCTCTCTCAGCCTGCCACGAAGCAGAGACCCGTTGCAGCAAGTGGCGTGATGGGAGGGCAGCCGCGAATAAAGCATGCCTGCTTATCTTGGTATCCTCACCCCTGACCACCCCCTCTGTGTGATAAGAGGTTAGGGTGAGATGAACCGGGCTGTGTCGAGGGTCAGTGTCGGGGTTAATGAGCCCTCTCACCCTTCTCCCAGGCCAGAATCACAGACACAGGGCCCTCTGCCACATTGCATGTCATCGCTGGCTCCTCGTCCACCAACCATCACCACCACCACCGTTATCATCACCACCGTGACATCTTCATCCCGATCACCGCCACCACTTCCATTGCAGTTATCATCGCCGCCATCGTCTTCGTCACGATTATCACCACCACTTTCATCATAATCATAACCACCACCATATCCATTATCACCATTTTACCACACCACTTCTAACATCACCAACACGAACATAAAACCATTAACGTCACCACCAACGCCAGCATCCATCAACATCATCATCCCGAAATTGTTTCTCTTCAAACTGTAACTACATCGGTACCCAAGCACCACCACCATCACCATCATCTCCCAGCCCCCATCCACGTGTTATTGTTGTTGTTGTGTTTAGTGTTGTTGTTTTAGTGTTGTTGTGTTTAGTGTTGTTGTTTTAGTTGTGTTGTGTTTAGTGTTGTTGTTGTGTTTAGTGTTGTTGTGTTTAGTGTTGTTGTTGTGTTTAGTGTTGTTGTGTTTAGTGTTATTGTGTTTAGTGTTGTTGTTGTGTTTAGTGTTGTTGTTTTAGTTGCGTTGTGTTTAGTGTTGTTGTTGTGTTTAGTGTTGTTGTGTTTAGTGTTGTTGTGTTTAGTGTTGTTGTGTTTAGTGTTGTTGTTGTGTTTAGTGTTGTTGTGTTTAGTGTTGTTGTGTTTAGTGTTGTTGTGTTTAGTGTTGTTGTTGTGTTTAGTGTTGTTGTTGTGTTTAGTGTTGTTGTTTTAGTTGTGTTGTGTTAGTGTTGTTGTGTTTAGTGTTGTTGTTGTGTTGTTGTGTTTAGTGTTGTTGTTGTTGTGTTTAGTGTTGTTGTGTTTAGTGTTGTGTTTAGTGTTGTTGTGTTTAGTGTTGTTGTTGTGTTGTTGTGTTTAGTGTTGTTGTGTTTAGTGTTGTTGTGTTTAGTGTTGTTGTGTTTAGTGTTGTTGTGTTTAGTGTTGTTGTGTTTAGTGTTGTTGTGTTTAGTGTTGTTGTGTTAGTGTTGTTGTTGTGTTAGTGTTGTTGTGTTTAGTGTTGTTGGTGTGTTTAGTGTTGTTGTTGTGTTTAGTGTTGTTGTGTTTAGTGTTGTTGTTTTAGTGTTGTTGTTTTAGTGTTGTTGTGTTTAGTGTTGTTGTGTTTAGTGTTGTTGTGTTTAGTGTTGTGTTTAGTGTTGTTGTGTTTAGTGTTGTTGTGTTTAGTGTTGTTGTGTTTAGCGTTGTTGTGTTTAGTGTTGTTGTGTTTAGTGTTGTTGTTTTAGTTGTGTTGTGTTTAGTGTTGTTGTGTTTAGTGTTGTTGTTGTTGTGTTTAGTGTTGTTGTTGTTGTGTTTAGTGTTGTTGTGTTTAGTGTTGTTGTGTTTAGTGTTGTTGTGTTTAGTGCTGTTGTGTTTAGTGTTGTTGTTGTTGTGTTTAGTGTTGTTTTAGTTGTGTTGTGTTTAGTGTTGTTGTTGTGTTTAGTGTTGTTGTGTTTAGTGTTGTTGTTGTGTTTAGTGTTGTGTTTAGTGTTGTTGTGTTTAGTGTTGTTGTGTTTAGTGTTGTGTTTAGTGTTGTTGTGTTTAGTGTTGTTGTGTTTTAGTGTTGTGTTTAGTGTTGTTGTTGTGTTTAGTGTTGTTGTGTTTAGTGTTGTTGTTGTGTTTAGTGTTGTTGTGTTTAGTGTTGTTGTGTTTAGTGTTGTTGTGTTTAGTGTTGTTGTTGTGTTTATTGTTGTTGTTGTGTTTAGTGTTGTTGTGTTTAGTGTTGTTGTGTTTAGTGTTGTTGTGTTTAGTGTTGTTGTTTTAGTTGTGTTGTGTTTAGTGTTGTTGTTGTGTTTAGTGTTGTTGTGTTTAGTGTTGTTGTCTTTAGTGTTGTTGTTGTGTTTAGTGTTGTTGTGTTTAGTGTTGTGTTTAGTGTTGTTGTGTTTAGTGTTGTTGTTGTGTTTAGTGTTGTTGTGTTAGTGTTGTTGTTGTGTTTAGTGTTGTTGTGTTTAGTGTTGTTGTGTTTAGTGTTGTTGTGTTTAGTGTGTTGTGTTTAGTGTTGTTGTGTTTAGTGTTGTTGTGTTAGTGTTGTTGTGTTTAGTGTTGTTGTGTTTAGTGTTGTTGTGTTTTAGTGTTGTGTTTAGTGTTGTTGTGTTTAGTGTTGTTGTTGTGTTTAGTGTTGTTGTGTTTAGTGTTGTTGTTGTGTTTAGTGTTGTTGTGTTTAGTGTTGTTGTGTTTAGTGTTGTTGTGTTTAGTGTTGTTGTTGTGTTTATTGTTGTTGTTGTGTTTAGTGTTATTGTGTTTAGTGTTGTTGTTGTGTTTAGTGTTGTTGTTTTAGTTGTGTTGTGTTTAGTGTTGTTGTTGTGTTTAGTGTTGTTGTGTTTAGTGTTGTTGTCTTTAGTGTTGTTGTTGTGTTTAGTGTTGTTGTGTTTAGTGTTGTGTTTAGTGTTGTTGTTGTGTTAGTGTTGTTGTTGTGTTTAGTGTTGTTGTGTTTAGTGTTGTTGTGTTTAGTGTTGTTGTGTTAGTGTTGTTGTGTTTAGTGTTGTTGTGTTTAGTGTTGTTGTGTTTTAGTGTTGTGTTTAGTGTTGTTGTGTTTAGTGTTGTTGTGTTTAGTGTTGTTGTGTTTAGTGTTGTTGTTGTGTTTAGTGTTGTTGTGTTTAGTGTTGTTGTGTTTAGTGTTGTTGTGTTTAGTGTTGTTGTTGTGTTTATTGTTGTTGTTGTGTTTAGTGTTGTTGTGTTTAGTGTTGTTGTGTTTAGTGTTATTGTGTTTAGTGTTGTTGTGTTTAGTGTTGTTGTTTTAGTT